CCCTAATGGATGGCATTGAAGAATTTTCCTATTTTACGTAGTAGAACCTCATACTTACCTTCGCATACAATTCGCCTTTAAAGATATAAAAGGTGGGATTTGAGGGAGCAAAGCGGATGCACTTTTCCGCATAGGCAAGTGTCTGTTTCAAGTCACTAGGCTCCAAATCATCTGTCAATACTCTCTGCAGATGTTCATGTGCTTCCATAAGAAATTGTTTTGCAAAAGCGTTAGCTGTTTTCGGTGTGTTAACACTGCGCGTTTGTCCTCCAATGTAATTCTCCTCAATGACCTGCGCGGCATTAGATTTGTCTAAGAAACGAGAAAAAAAATTAAAATCCCTTAAATTTGCAGGCTATACAAACGCACCTTATGCGAAGGTAATACAGGAATTTTAAAAATATGTCAATTATTTTGCGAATATCTTGTACTATGCGGGCGAAAATTCTTGAAAAATGTGCCCACTTTCTTAGTAGAAGGTTCGAAGAAATTCAACTGACCTTACTATTGAAAGTACTGCCATATTTTGTAACTAATCCGTGGCTAAAAATGACCACTTTGGATTTAGCAATAAACTGTAAATTATCACGGTACCAGCATACATCCTTCATATTGTAATTCACATAACAAAACTGATTTTACTTTACTACGATGGGTTATGTCTGATGAGTTCAAGCCAGAATCTGAAAAGTCAGACAATCGCATATTTTACTTCCTACATCTACATGATTTTAGAAACAAAATGACCGCCGCCAACTTATCAACGGCGATGATTTTTTGCAGTCAAAGAAAGGATATGACATTTATTGCCACCTCAGGGTATGAGTAGAGAGATTGATATAGTGGACGAAGTGTGAAGCCGTAAAATAAAGTCCAGTTTATGTGTTTAAAGGCCTTAATAGAAAAAAGGGACCGCAGCATTTTTCTTTATATCTACGATATACAATTGAGTGACCTTTGCTCACGTAAACTGCAATCCGGCCAGCGGCCTTTGGGTCAAATAAGGTCACGGAATTTGTCGGTTATGTCGAGCCAGCAGCAGAGAGCCCTGCCAAACTATGTGCTGCGACCTCAATGTCGGTTGTTAAGGGCACAACCGCACCTAATCATATAGATGAATTTGCATTTGACTAGAAGATGACTCGTTGATCTTCAGAACGAACTATATAGCGATCCCACATTCATCAATAGCTTTACGATTAGACTGTCAAAATTAATGCACATTTAAAAAAATAGATCGAAAATTTGAAGAATCTTTTTCCAGGTGCAAATTTGAAGATTGTGTATACACCAGAATTTAATGGAACCATTGATTTCGCGAGTGCTCATCAGCTGCGTCCTCTTGCTGCATAACATGAGTAACGAATAACAGAATACAAAAATCGAATTCATACAGAAGAGGTCATAGAAACAGGTCAGGACCGTACTTTTCTGACAGCTCGCCACCTATCACCGTGGTTTTCCAAAACTTTCAGGAGAGCATTTTTAAAAGCTTAACCCGTTAGAACTAAAACGAAGAAAGCAAATCACTTACCTTGAGGCAACAAGTAATCATACGACATAACTCTGAGGGGTCTTATCGATATGATGAATGGTTCCAAGAAGCTGTTTGTGAATAACAATGAAGCTCACCTTTACAAACGGAAGAATCATGGGACAAACACACAAAAAGAGGCATATCATTAACTGGGATGAATATCTTCTACTGTTATTGCTACAGGTGAGAAATGCAAAACTGTCTGTCCAAAGTTTATACAAACTTTAACGTAGATAAATAGAAGTTATACTAATCCCAAGATTAAATTAGCAAGCTTGCTTTGTTTAAATTCGGATCAATGTAAAGTTCAATGTCTTCCCAAACAGCTAGCTACACAGCAAGCATAGCGTGTCTTAGTCCTCACCCCCTAATAAGAAGGTTCATTGGAATAAGTATTGCATAATTCCGATAGCAATTCAGCATAGGTTGTCAGATGCATAAAATGCAAACTTAGACATGAGTGCTTTTTTCGCACATTTCGAGAAGTAATATAGTGTCCGTTTGATAATCGGGCATTTATCACATGTCAAGTCTTCGAATTCTGGCAGTGCACAAAGTACAAGGCACTAACATAACTAAAAAACAGGAAAGGATTTCAATATGCTAATGGCTTGAGGAAGTTTTGGTACTGTTAATATAAAAAATACTTGTTACTGGTTCCAGTAATATACATTATCTGTAAATTAGAGATCTGACTATGTGCTTTCCAAAGGTTTCAGCCCGGAGACCTTGCCAACTCCTACTCCGCCCAGCTAAATTGCCCAGACGAAGCAGTGCGCGGATATGAAAATGCATATTTTTACGTAATTTTTGGGACGGATTCAGTTTTTACAATGATCACATCACACGAGAATGCCCTGTTATCTTCCGGCGCATATAAACCTAAGGACGTTTTCTGCACCAGCCCCGAATTGCCCTGTCGAAATTCCGGGACAATAGTGGTTAATCCGGGGCTATAGCCCCGGATTGGACGCGGATTTCAACCTGGATTGCCTCGTCCCTAAGCTGCTGTCGTAAGGATCCTTCCCTGCTAGCACAATACCCAGATCCCGCCCGTTGCAATTCCAGAAGATGGGGAATGATCAAGGGATGACGACGGGGATTCTAGGGGCGTAAGGCCAATGAATTCGACCCAAATATCCCCGTCGCGTGAGGAGGTTGTGCAGCCTGAGGTCCTCTCTTTGCCTTCGAATCCCTTTTGCAATATCGACTTTCTTGGGTAGAATTGCGCCACTCCTGCGTATTACTCATGGTAACCCCATTTTACATTTCTACGCCCGTGATCGCGCCATAAAACAAGCCCCACGGGGAGGGGTAAACGATTATGCAAAACAAGAAGTTCACGCACCTGCACGCAGTAAACAACCCCGACGCAGTATTTCGCAAAAAAAGATTTGATGCAGATGAACGTCTCATTAAAAATTAATTGACTTGCTTATAAAAACCAACATTTTGTTATGCATTTGTCAAAACACAGATCTCAAACTATATCTAAATATGTTTTATCAGTTAACTGAATCCCTTATATCTCGCGGAAGTTCGATTATTGTAATATCCCTTAGAGCAATGTTCCGGAACAAAAGATAGAATGGTTCCAGTGGGACCAAAGGATAGAAGCGAATAGCTTTTAGTCCTTCTGCGCCATGATTGCGTATATGGGCGGTATTCCGTGCGCTGACTGGGGGAGGTTACAAGCCGTCATCGAAATCGATGGTCGAACACACACACACACACAAGCCCCCCCTTCACCTGAGAATAACCCTACGCACACGCACACCTCCTACATTCACTCCCTCCCTCCTCCCCAAATACGGCGCTTGGATCGATGTGTTTCTTTGGCAACTTTTGTCGGCGTATGCCTAGGGCGAAAAACCCGTGTTCAGATCACACTTAATGCGTCCAAATAGGGGGAAGGTCTGGGGGTAGAGGGACAGGGGGGTATGGGGCGACTATGTGCATCAAGTTCACTCTGAGCA